TCTAGTTGTAGAAACATGGAAAACGCTGTGTCTTATCATACTATTAGCGAGCCAAATTCTAGTAATATTTCGAAAACTTCTTCAAATTCGTATACAAACAATTTCGATATTAATAAGATACCTGTTTGCAAACATGATGAAAAAGGGACTAGCAGAAAATCCAAAAGATTGATAAAAAAGACAAAGAATTTACGTAAATCTAAAGAAAGCGATTCCTTTGTAGAATTAAAATCGGTAACCTCTATTCACTCGCAAGAAAAAGCGAGACAAAGTCCTCCTATTTCGAATAACAGAAGAACTCGTAATTCTAGCAAAGAGAATACTGATCGTTCGTCTGTTTTTCAGGTGGAAAAGGAAGTACCGGTTGAAATAGCACCCGCTGAACTTACGAAAAAAAATGTATCAAACGCGTCACGCGTTAGAAAAAGATCACTTAGCACAACGGATACGATTGATAGTAACACTTCGAAAAAGCGCAAGAATGATGTTAATGAAGATAAGCCTGTTAGTAATAAAAGTAGAAAGAAGAATACAATAGATGATGAAGGCAATTCCGCAAATGTTGATAAAAAAAATTCATCAAACAGTATAAATGGTTCGAACAATAGAAGAATGTCAAATGAAGCAAGTTTAGATAAACAAGCAATAGTAAGAGTCCAAAGAATTTCTCTATCTACTCCAACAGAGTCGATATCAAGTACTCCAACTGAACTGGTGAATGAAAGCGATAACAATTGTAAAATCAGACAAAATCGACTTACAAATATCATTTGTGACACTCAGACACCTGACAGTCGAATTGTTTCAAGTATTTCGAGTAACGAAAATTACAGAACTACCAAAAATGTAGAAACACGAAAAAATCCGAAACGAAAGACGACAAAAAAAACTGAGCTTGTAGCGGACGACATTAGTTCTCAAATTGGTGAAGAATCCCAAGAGATAGAAATGATCATGAACAATGCGCTCAAAAAACAAAATACCGGTTCAAATATAGAAAGAAAGGAAGATACGGAAAGAAATACAAGTACCAAAGCGAAAAATACTAGGAAACGTGGAAATACGGATATTAATACGGATGTAGATAACACGGAAATCAGCAGTACCTCTTCCATTTTATCCGAATCTGATAACACACATTTTGAAATGCCTACATTAAGGAGCAAACGAGCGAAGGTTTCCAAAAATATTTCAAGTATAATTAGTACTACGTTAAATGAATCTACCAAAGAAACAAAAAGAAATAGCAAACTATCGATTAGATCAACTCGAAGTCAACAATCAATTGTGGATTCTTCCCTAGAAGAAAGCGCAGAAATGATCGCAAATCAAACTACTTCGAATAACAGTGCGAATAAAAGGAATAATTTCAGAAAGAAACAGCAAAAACAGACGACAGGAAAGACTAAAAACAAGCGACAAAAAGAAGATTTCGTAGAAGAGACGTCTATTTCAGAAACTAATTCCAGTATCGAAACTACATCGATACTTTCAACTCCCAATAGAACACGTAGAAGCATGTCTTCTTCATTTGCAGCACAATCACCATTCAAAATAAAGCATAAAATCTTATTTACGGGTATTTCAAGTAACGATTATAATAAATTGTTAACAAAGTTGGGTATGTATCCGATCTGTTTGCAGAAGAATTATAACTAAAACTAACCATAGTCATAATTAATGTCCCTTTTCTTTATAGGTGCATCTCAAGTCGAGGATCCGGCAAAGTGCACTGTATTGGTTACAGACAAAGTTCGAAGAACTGTTAAATTTTTATGTGCTTTAGCACTACCTGTACCAATAGTTTCAGTCGATTGGTTGATTAACAGTGAAAAAGCTGGTCGTTTCATAGAATTAGAAAATTACATATTGAAGGACCTTGCCGCTGAAGCTAAATTCCGCTTTAAATTAGGAAAGAGCTTAGAAAAAGCAAAAGAACATAAACTTTTAAAGGGATACACACTTGTTTTAACACCGAACACCGCGCCGCCACCACTAGAATTAAAAAGTATGTTTTAAAACTAATAATTTATAGACGTGTATTGTATTTAACATATATATCTTGGTTCTTTATACTTTAAAAAATGTATTTTTTTACAGATATAATCATTTCATGCGGCGGTAAAGCCTTGCTTCGACCACCACCGAAGTTATGGCCTCAACAATCAGTGATTATCTCTCCCAAAGAGGACTTAACAGATGCAAAGAAATTTCTTGCAAAAGCACCTAAAACTGTTACCGTTCAGTCGACAGAATTTATATTAACTGGCATTTTAAGACAAGAATTAGAATTTAATGAGTTTAAGTTAATATAATTCATTTTTCAATGAAACAAGAATACTTGTGTTGAAAAATTGTGCAGAAGTTATTCATACATTTCTCAAATATTTTTACAAAAATGCATTTGTACAAAATAAAAAATATATTGTGTGATTCGTACATGCTTAATTGTATAATACATATACATATAGATATACAGGGTGGTTGGTAACTGGTGATACAAGCGGAAAGGGGGTGATTCTACGAGAAAAAAGAAGTCGAAAATATAGAATAAAAATTTTTTGTTTGAGACTTTGTTTTCGAAAAAATCGACTTTGAATTTTTGTTCGGTATGCGTGCACTTTATCACGTCTCGTTATAACCGATCTCACTGTAGATCGTTGTCTCGATGGAAAAATTAAAAAAAAAATGTAAAAAAAATGTAAAAAAAATTCTTATTCTATATTTCCGCTTGTACCACCAGTTACCAACCATCCTGTATACGTACATATTAATAATTGATATACATATAAAAAAGGAAATTTTCTTTACATCCCTCTTTCAAATTGTTAATATAAAACATAATGTACATTTGACACCTATTTGTAATGTTTGTGTTAATGTTTAGTGTGGGTATAGGTCATAGATTTAAATTAATACTACTTAAATGTTTTTTTTAATAAATATAAAATAAATTTTATTGTTCACCAAAATTGTACAGTCACCTTTTTTATCTAATACTTCAACTTTCTAGTAAACTCAAAATTGCTCTTTTGAATATAACAAAAATTTAACTTACAATATCTTGGAAAACAAATGCAAGTGAAAATTTCTTCGATATTCACATTGAATAAAACGTTTTCACATAGTAAAGTAAATTCCTAATTTCTAAATTGAGCAATTGTGTTTCAATACCAATGAAATGAAACATTTATAACTGGATGCACTGTACCTAAAAAATTTGTATAGTGTGTGAATCCAATACAAATATTATTTAATTTCTTAATCTATCAAGAGAAATCCAGGTTCAGGTAGTTCTGGATCGAGTAGTCTAGAAGATAGTCATACATATATACCCTATAAGTTACAACATAACATGAATAAGAATAATGATTATGAAATATATATTTGTAGTAAGTACTAATTATCTTAGCCTAAGTGAGCATTTATGTTCAGTGACTAAATGCATTATTAAGAATAAAGGAAATGAAAAAGTCGTTTATTGTATTCAAGGATGCTCAAAAACTTCAATATGTTGGAATCGACAAATACTTTCTTCAAAAATTGGACAGCAACCCTGAGTCTGAAACAAATAATAATTAAATTATTAAAAATACGAATGATTACTAAAAAATGATTTTAATACTAAAGAAATATTTACAAATAAAAACTATTCTTCAAGGCATTAATATTTTTAAAAATACGTACTTCATATCCTTATACATACATTCTTCATTCATATACGTATTTATTATCACATAAAACAAAAAGCATGTGTTTAAATAGGAAATGAGTCATCTCTGAGATATTGCGCAGCGATACAAAACCACAATACAACAATATTTACAAACCATTATAACATGCAACGAAAAGCGAAAGAATTTTAACTTTCACCGAGTTTTAATTGGACCGAAAAATATGCGCTTTTGCGACTTAAAATTGCACGTAGGTAAAGAAACAAGAGTATGTACAAACACAAAAACTGGGCCAAGGTTGCGGACCATTCCGACAACACTCGAATCAATAACATAATCAAACAAATATATTAAATTAAAAATTATGTCATAATTAAGTGAAGAATTTTTACTTACTCTTTATGCTTTGGTCTTTCCAACATTCCGTTTGTTGTGTTCAGAATTCATTAATTTGGTCAGGATCTTTCTGGAATGGCCGCACGGATCGAAATGATTTGTGTGTGCAAGAGCCTCGCGTTTGCTTCGCTGTTTTCCACTGTGACCGGTAAAAATATGCTTGTCGTAATCGTAGTTGAAGTGTTCGTATTCGTCAACGTAGTAGTCAGACATAGTTCTTGGTTTCCAAATGCTTTAGAAAAATAATAGCGTAAACGCAGTCAAAAAATCTCTCTTACTGTACCTCTCGCAGGTTTACTTCGAATTATTTGGACGCAGTTTACTACACTTAGTTATATAGGCTACACAAGAATTACTGCGCAGGCGCAGCACTCAGTAATGTCTCTAGTATATTCAATGCCTGGTATAACAATCGTTTTAACGAGATAAATTCCTCTCTTATTTGCATATTTTCTATTGTAGAACAACTATCATTCAGTTTAAATGAGATAAAGCATATTTTAAATTTCCTAATATATTGAAAAACGTACAAGTAACATTTCAAGAACAAAACATGCATATTAGAATTTGAAATTTCTAGAAAACACTTAATATTTTCTGTATTACTGATTGCAGAGATTAATAAAAAAAGATTAGCTGTCATCAAAAAAAGTTCCATTATCTATTTATTAAACAAACAACTCTATATCGTTTTGAATTTCTTACGTCTTTTACGTATGTATTTCAAAAATGAATATCGTTGCATATGCGAATCATAATATATGTATAATCTGAAGCAAATCTTTCAAAAATTAATGTCATCAAATATTGTTCATTAAAAATTTATAAACAAATTTAAAATACGTAATTTTGTAGCATAATATAGACAGCCCTGATAGTGTATCATCTTAGCTTGGCAACTGAATATATATTCAACAGTCATTTTATATGTACTTTCTCAGGCATTGTTCTGAGTTTCAATAGATTTGACATTATGTACTACTTTTTAAAAAATGCTTTTTTACGTAACAGATATTAATAAACACTGGATTTATGTACCAAATCTCTATTATGAAACAATTCTATGTTTGGCAACAAACAGCACGTTGATCTATTACGCACGCGCAATCGGCAGCTTGTTACATTGACTTCTAGGAGTATCCCTACCATTGTAAGTGAAATGTTCCACAAAATTCTGTATATCGCTGATATATCTCAAGAGAAGTAAGGAAAAAGAGCAGTACAAAAATGTTTGCATGGGGCGTGGTAAAGCAGTTGATATTAAGTATATTTTGTATGCTGCCTTGTAAGAGTCTGATGTAAGTTAAAATGATAAGGTGAAAAATGCGCAGTAGAGTATCCATGTTGAGAACATTTCAGGTTAACTGTACTTGTACGTATATGTATCTCGAATCCGATTGATAACGAGGTTCAAATATAGACGTATGAATTATCAACCCATTTGATTATTACTTGCCAATTTTGCCCAGCATGTAAAAACATACATGTATATATGTGATACGTATACGTCTTATAACAGTGTGTCTGTACATGTATCTACGTCCCGCATTTTCGACATACGTGTCTCGCAACGCAATTACATACATTTACACATCTGTGTTTATTTACGATTATCATGAAGCACATTTCTTCTAATCTTAATTACTTATCATGTACTACAAATTAATTTCTTTTTGTTAAAAAAAAAATATTCGTTATATTGAAGTACATAAGAGACATTCTGTTTTTCTAAAAAAAAAAAAAAAAAAATAAGAAAAAAGATAAGGATCATGGAGTCAGAGAGGAATTTTACGAATTCATACAGTAGGATTTACAATGACTTTTAAATTTTGTTTCACCTTATCGACGATTATTGTGATTCAGCTCAGAAATATAGTGTGTCTTTCAAAGTTGTCAATAAAAAATGATTTAACTTGTGAATGTATCGATCAAAACGGTCACATTCAATTTTAGTATTTGAAGTAAATTCAACTTTTATGTTACTTTGTAACGATAAAAGGAAATACGAATGTTTTCTACTGCATGCACATAAAAATTTGCTCGTAGTATGTTAAATAAAAGATCAATCGAAGCTACCAGAAACTATCGACTTTGTGAAAATATAGTCCATTGAAAGGATGTCGCATATGTGTGAAATCCCGTTAATCGATCTGAACTTGTTACCTCAGCGTACAGCTAGAAATATTGAAAAAAAATATGTATGTAGTCGTTTATTCCATCGCCGAGTCTTAAGTTCATTACATATAGATTAACGACATCTACGTTATGAATATTTAGCATTATATGTTCATTCCGCGCATAAAAGCAGACGTCTTATTTAGATGAAATGTTTTTATTATTTTAAATCTTTATTATTTTTTTAGAAATTTTCGAATTAGGTTGAAAATTACTTTCTACGAGTTAATAATAATATTGAATACTTTAAACAAATTTAGATATACTTCCATGTTATTATAATTATTCTTTTTACAAAAGTATATATCTAGACGCTGGTATTATAATTAATCCTTTATTACAAAAACTTTCTAGAAAAAAATTTTATAACGGGCAATATCAGAAATATACAATATATGAAATAAATTTCACAAAAACATTTCTAGAATAATTAATATATGTAATCTGAATGATCTATAAATTTTGTAAATATAAAAAATGTATTTATGTAGTAATGTACAGATTAATGACTTATTATTTATATATCAGCAACGTAATTGGATGTAACTTTCGCTTCTAAAATACTTATATGTATTAAAACGAATTATCAGTGCATGAGATACATTACGAGAAGTAATTAATCAAAGACACGAATATGTATGGGATGGATGTTTTTTGAATATTTTAGAACATATTGATGTAAAATATAAAAAAAGATTAAAATAACTTCCAAAATTATGTTTGAATTCAGGCTGATTTCACTACGTGATATTTTTAACTGGGAAGAATCGCACTCTACGAAATTATTAAATATATTGTCGTAGTTTAATGGTTGCTTAATAGTAGAACACCCCGTATTTCTGCATGGATCGATAGTACTAGGTAGAATCTAATTCGATCGGATAAGAGTTTACTACAAACTTCCTATATTGTGATTATTCATTGAATCAATAAGCATAATTAGATCGCGATTACGTTAAAGACATAAAAAAATACTTTGAACATTCATGTAGCATATTTCATAAGTTAAACTAGATCGAAATGTAATTAAAAAGAAATAATAATAATAATAATAATAAGAAAATGATATTAAGAAATAATGTGTGTAAAATATTTATTATTATTTATTGAAGAACTTTAATTTCGCACAGTTCACCGTAGAGAAAACATCACACAACAAACATTATCACGGAAAGTTTCTCTTTCAAAAGATTTTTATATATTTTGGTGATTAAACGTTGAAGAGTTTAATACCGCGGGAACTTGAATAACACTTATTGCGATCAGTCGCCAGAACAGTTCAGCAATTTATGTATATATCTATATATTAGTAGGTTCACCAATGATCATTTGTTTTAATTAGGAAGACTTTAATCGACTCCATACACGTCTCCTTCTTTCCGGAAGTCCGCATTCCCGTATACTGTATTGTTCTTAGTGTAAATGATGCAAGCTACGCTACCACGAATTCTGTAACGAGCAGTCTTGTGGCCAATCTTTTTCAACCCATCAATTATTTGCTTTGGCACACCATACTCGTATGACACGTTTGGCGGGACCAATTGATGATGTATTCTAGGAGCATCCACTGCTTCCTTCACTGTTTGGTTCATCCATATAATCTTAGCCATTATCTAAACATAGAAAAGTTGAGAAATAACACATTCACTGGATTAACTTTATGTTAACACAATCTTTATACGATGTTTACGAAATGCCCGATAAAATATTAAATTGATAAATGTTAACCTGAGAAACTGTCGTGGTGATCCTAGTACCACCAGAAGCACCAACGACCATTCTTACATCATCATTTTCATCGACAAGGATCGAAGGTACCATAGATGACAAAGGCCTTTTTCCAGGAGCGATATTATTGTTCGGACTAGGTGGAATACCGAAGTAATTAATTGCTGACGGTATACCAAAATCATTCATCCCATTATTCAATAATATTCCAGTACTTTCGCTAACTACTCCGCTTCCAAAACTGATAAAAGAGGCAATTATTTAATTTATCTATTAAAAAGTGACACGTTGAATATTAAGTTTAGTACCAAAATTAGTTATTAAATTTGTTTGTGTATTAACTATAAAAATAATTGAGCCTTTTGCAAAAGAGCCTGTTTACATAGTAAAATAGTTGAATTATTATTATTAATTAAAAAAATAAAGTAAGAACTATTTAAGAACTATTATCAATCATAATCAATTCCAACATAATAATATTGAAAAACTAGAACTACCAACGCAAATTACTCAATTCACTGCTGTATCTTATGAGCTTTTTCTCCAGAAAGCCTCGCAATTAATGAAAACTTCCATCTAGAAGTTTATTAATGTTAAAAAATAAACGTACTAGAAATTGATACTACTAGTAGCTGAGACTGCGTCCCCATTTGGCGCTAATACTGAAACATGAGCAGTTCCTTGATCCTTCGCGCTGCTCAACATGCGCGCTCCATAATGCGCTGGATCATCCCACGTTTTATAATCATCTATCATCATTTGTGTTTCTTGTGCGCGAGTCTTCGACATTAGGTTCTTTGTTAACTTAAACAAGTAGAATTACAATGAAACGTTATGTGGTTACTTTTGTATGATGTTCTTAAACCTAATGCGCATCTCTTTTAAAAATATTTTACTGATAGAGTATCAGTATATCTATAGATCTCTGATAAACTACCGGAATAACAGAAAACGTGTTTGTTCATTAAATTACGTCGTTTACTCACTTCTTCCATGTCGACAAATTCTTTATCGGCCATATCGTTTCTCAACGCGTACGCATATTTAAACGTTTCTATCATTCGATGATACGTAAGTGCGGTTTTGTTAAAATCAGCTAAGCTATCAGGTGTAAAATTAAATCTATCAAAAATATTTAAAATGTAGGTGAGAAGTCCTCCACTAGCGGGTAAATCGACTGTAAAAAGTTTCATTCCATTGGAGAGACTCGACTCAAGTGGTTCATCCCATGTTGCTCTAGAGATAATTTCAATTAAAAGCTCAATGGTCGATAATTTGTATTTTTAAGTACTTTAATGATAAATACCTGTAATTGTTTAAATCTTTCATTGTTATTATTGCCCCTCTTTCTTGTAAGTCTTGTACTAAAAGTTTACCCAATGTCCCATTGTACAATTCTGAGGCTCCCTTCTCTGCGATTACTCGTAAAGTTTTGCAAAATACTTTGGGCCTAATAATCGAACCTGGTTTATAAAAGTCGTTCGTCTTTGGATCTACAAATAATTCTCTGAAATGGAAAAAATCTAGTGTTTTCTATCTTCAAGCTTATAGGTAATTAATTATGGAAGTTATAATACGTTTTTCGAATTATTACTTTAATACGTGATCCTTTAAAATATTTTTTGCATTATATCTGAATCCATCGTGTTGAACTTTTGTCAAATTATATCCTTCTTCGCACAGTTCGATGGAGGGCCTGAATAAGTCAACCCATGGTAATTTACCGAAACGTTGATGAGCTTCCCAGTATCCTGCCAATTCCCCAGGAACAGCGATAGCCAACGGACCTAATGAAATTCGTGAACATACAGATTTCATAGCCTTTTACTTATTCATTAAAAATAGAGGAAGTGAACGCTTTACTGGTGAATGCCGCCTCTTTGGGCTTCCCTTGGTACATAGTAGCGTTTGCAGCTAACGGAGCACGGTCTCTTGCAGTTAACGTGTATGCATGCTTGGAGGCTTTATCGTAAATTGTCATAAAAAATCCGCCCCCAATACCCATACTTTGCATATTCACGAGACCATTGCAAATCATTGTAGCTATGGTCGCATCCACTGCAGAGCCATTTTTTTCTAGAATTGATCTATGGGAACATGATATATTTATTTAATAATTCAGTCGTATATTTTAAGACATAATGCACAGGCTGCGGATGTTTATGCAAATTTATATTTTTATGAACACAACTAAAGAAATGAAACCCGCGCGAAGATTTGTTTCACTCACCAGATATAATGAATATTACACTTTTGATATTTTATATACCTTTGTCTATTATCTACATTGTGTACCTTAAAATGTCCCATGAATGTATAAACATCCACAAATATAGTAATTTAATTTAAAGTATTGAAAGCAAAAGTAAACTAATCTTTATATTCAACAAACTGAGTAATTCGCGATATAAAATAAATGTTGACATAAGATATTCAGTGCAATAAGTGATTTCGTTGTTATCTGACTTCAATTTGAAAAAAACTGAATTTTTCCACCTTTGTATGATTAATACTGGAATAGATTAATATTGGAATAAAAAAAAGCTCACAGTTAAAAGCTCACATTCAGAAAAAATGTGGTCTAGTCCACTTTTGTTCTTAATGCCTCATATAATAGCAATATAATTTTACATACTTGCCAATGCTAGCACATTGTGCAGCATCTGCACAAACGGCACCACGTTTAAAAATTTTTAATTTGCTCCATGACGGAGGTAATAGTATTTCCGGATCGGGTGGTACATCTTCGTTTTCTTGAATTTCTAAGTCCCTACTGGCTCCATAAATACTGCAGATTGTTATTATTGAAAGAATTACTATGGCTAATATTATTCCTGCTATTATAATACTTTTCGCATTAATGTAGGACCTGAAAATAATAAATAACCAAATGAACTTAACATAGGAAATAGAAAAACCATATGTTTGATATGAATTTATGGAATAAATAAATAATAAAAATATTTTTCGCAATTTAATTAATCTTAAATAAATTTATTTTAAACAAATATCATCTAGACGATTTGTGATATTTTATACTTACTATGTAATATATATAAATTTTTGTGAAGTTTCATCAATTTTACTAATTTTTAATACTTTTCACTCAATTTTGTTAATCATTATTTATAGTTGACTATTACAGTTAATAGTTAATAGTTAGATAACTATTAACTATTAACATTTAGAACTTTTAATTTTAATTAAATACAAAAATTAAAATCGATTTTAATTATTCTAAAGATAGATGTTTATATAATTTTTTATTATAATAAATTTTATAGAAACATTATAATACAAAAGGACAAGATATTTTATAACTTTTTATGATGCTTCTTTGCATTTTAGTTGCCGGTAGTACAAAATAATTGGTGGCTGTAAGTGGCTGTCAATAGGTGAAAAATTCTGTAACGTAAGCAATTTTTATAAATTACTTATGCATAAAATGAAATATACTACAATTTTTGCAGTAATGTATGACACATATATTATTTATAGCATGAATATATAGAATATTGATTAAAGGTATCTATAAATGAATCAGCATAGTGAAAGCAAATTCATTACGAAGGTTATGTGTAAAGTGCTCTCTGTTGCTAATCTAGAAATCTACATGTACATATAGAATATTTTAACCTGTTATTTAGAAAAGACAAATTATCTCGTCATTCAGACCTATTATTTCTTGGATATAACTTTATTACTCATAGATCCTCTATTTTTTAAATGTATTACATGATTTTTACGCGTACATTATATTATATTTACAAAGATTAACAGATATTTGTTTGCAAAGACCAAAATCAAACTAATTGAAATTGATTCTTCTTCATTATCTTTTAATTTTATGGTTCTTTATTATTTTTAGCCTATGATAAAAACTTGTTGGTGAAGGGATGACGCGGTTAACAGGCTGATTTAAAAATTAACAGTTACAGATTTTTCAAATAAGTCTATATACATATTCCATGCTCATCTGCATAAACTACTTAATATCTATCCATCTACTATTTGCAAAATTTATATAAAACAGAAACGAAAAATATTAGGCTTAATTTTAAACAAATTGTGAAGCGCAATTCTCTTGTTTAAATTCACAGGACCTGCGCAGAACTCACTTGTCGATTCGCAGTGTCGCAAAGAATCTTCCCGCTTTGCTACGATGAGGTGAATATGAACGCAATAGCCGAGTTGTTCCGACATCGTCCGAACCAACGAAATTTCGTTTATCGTTACTGTAATACTGACGAACATCGTCAGTACTAGCGTATGCGGAACTGGTACTGGACGAAGGTGAGGAAGTCATATTTTTTCGCTGCTACAAAGAGGAATCATAAAATGTAATGGTTAACGATCTTGTTATCGACCAATATCGACAATAACCGTTACCAAAACATCAAACAACTGTCGCCACCTTTGGACGATTCGGGTAAACACGTCGCGTTTCGAGGCTACACCATCTACCACTCACGTATATCTAGTTTCTGTTGTTTAGCGCATTATTTGACACTTACCGTCAAAAACAGACGATTTTTGATCACCATTCACATTCAACTTTTCTCACACGGACCTTCGTCTCGTTTTGTCGAGGATTCTTGATGTATATCGTTCATGTTACCAAAGAAATTTATCCATCGATAATCGTGCGTAAAATTAACCGTATCGTCGGAAGATGAACAACACCAGCTGACCGGAGAAAATCAATTCGAGTTTGCGCGTTTCACACCACTGGCACAGAATTGTTCCATTCGACGTGTAGCATGTACCATACACGATTTCAAAACGTTAACAAGTAAGGTAAATAACCATTGCAATTTCAACATCTTTACGATTACTGACAACATTCATTCTACGTTTTTCCAATCATTCAAAATTAAAAGATCGAGTAAAGTTTTAAGTAAATTTTATGATTTAAATGACAAATAACTGTCACAAGTTAAAGTCTTTTACAATTATTGACGATAATTATTCTAAATTTATCTAACCTCTTAGAGTAAAAAGGTAAAATGTAAACTTTTGAATATTACTTAAATGACGTAAAGGCTAATAGATATACGTATCTACATGCATATATTTATAAGCTACTACAGCGAAATAATTTAGTAGTACTATTATCTTCCGTATGCCATTATAGATTAGCAGGTTTCTTGACGATGAAAGAAATTTTGCTACAAGTGAATTTTGAAATTTTTAAAGAATAAAATTTATTATTTAATATTTAAAATATACTTTTAAACTATAAGAAGTATAGAATACTCAATAAATACGTTACTTTATATACGTTCATTATATTACGACATTAAGAGTTCCATATTATTTTACGACATAGTATGTATTTGCTATCTGGAGGACTATAAAAAATTCAATAGAAATCGTGATATCAATATCGCATCTCTAACTACCTACACAATAAAAATCTACAAAAATTATCAGTGACAATATTTATAAAATATCTATTTAATCTTTATGTCGGTTTTTATTTAATCTTTATGTTGCCGCTATCATTCAATATTTTTACGTAACAAAAAGAAAGATTTGCGTTATAAGAGGAAAAAAGAAAGATAGAAAATAAAAAAGAAAAACTCCTGTAATACGACAGTACTTAATTAAACATCCTTCGGAGAGTCATATATCTGGGTCATAAAACAAGCGGGGTGGACTATCGGGAAGTGGCATGCAATTGTGACAATTTATGGCTATTATAGGAACCGCTAAGCATTATACAATGTGATTTAGCAAAAACAAGTACACACAAAGTAACGAAATTGCACAATATCTTTGAGCAACTGCTCCGTTTATTTCGTTTCTAACTTTTATTGCTTGGTCATGTTCATTGATAAAACGTTAGATTAACTCATTGGAACTCAGTGTCAGATAAAAAGTGTTATACTTAGTAACAAGAACGCCATAATATGCTCAAGTTTACTTTTTTCTTTTATACGGAACAATATTTTTTACTTTTTTATTTTTATTTTTTTATTGTAATGTTTGGTAATACAGATCGTTTGTGATCTTACCTTAATTCCTTCCTCGACTCCTCTATTTCCGCTAAGCTGTGTCTCCTCGTCATCTTCTCTACGGTTATATCTTCTCAAATACAACGAACTTTATAAACACAACGTTCACCGATCGTCATTCAATAGGACTCATTTGATCGCTTCGTGACATCCTAAGAATTCAAAGAGTAATAAATGACAAGAACGTCGCCATGACAAGAAGATAGAACCACGTGTCACATGTTAAAAATACTCTTTCATACATATGAGGAAGGTAGCGGCTCGCATAAAGATTGTCTGACATATGTTTAAGGTAACCACACGTAAATTTAACACGGAAATAACGTGAAAATTACTGCACATGATTGCGTGATTCTAATTTGAAACAATTATCAGTTGAAACGTGCATATCTTGCAATGAAAGAGTCCCATGATCATTACATGTGACCACGAACTCAATCAATCCTTTATAAAACACGAACATTCCGCTATTACTCCATTGTTAAAGATAATAACAATAACGATTTCTGATACTTTTAACGCGACTCACAAATAGAAAATTGCCTTTCGTTACGTAAAAACGTACAATATGTTATTTATTTTAAATACCTTTCTTGAACATCGTCTTCTTTTTTTAAAAATTAAGTTAATCGTATCATTGCCTGTTTCTCCTCTTGTTACAGCGCGATTATTCACTGATAGGATAACGAGATACAAGAATAATTTCACAGTTTCTTCATAAAAGTAGATCGACGTTCGACCGAGATCGCGCGGGACACAGAACGCGTGTCGCTACGGCACACGATTTATCACGCAGTGCTCTGACCGGATTGCCGGCTTAGCTCTCGACGAAAACATCTCGAAACGCGTTCGCTGCGAGGCCCGATCGTAGCAGAGAAGGGATTGTTGTTTCTTGCTCGCGCGGACGAATTTAGTTCCCCTTATTTCAATTCTAGGCCAAGGGGGACAGGGTTATGGTTCAGACGACTTTGAATTCTAAAAGAAAGCCTTGTTTCGAAGTTACTACACGTGCATCGTTTTTTCTCTGTAACCTCGTTGCCCTCCTTCGGCGTGAAACACTCTCGCGATAAGAAAACATGCCTCTTTCGACTCTGAAAGATGAGCGTGGGACAAAACAATATAATTCTCCTCGAAATTAAAATATTCATCAAAGAAAATTTCACATTAAAAATATTCCTTTGTACATGTTTGTCGTTCTTTCGGAAAACGAAAGAACACTCCTAGCATCTTTTACTTCTGTTCTAATTTTGAATATTTGATATTTTCTTTTTTTTTTTTTGTATTTCTTGAGATAATTATCGTTATGGTTACTGAAAATAATAATTACGGAAATAGATTAATCCTTTGAAATGCATCCTCGAGTTCTTTATCGAGAAAATCATGAATTTACCTAATCTAAATTTATCTAATGCTCCAAAATAAGTAGACATAGAACATTTTTCAAAATACCGATTCCATCCTATTATGAATCTTCTGATCATTAGATTATCTAAAACTTTGAAAAATTTGACACGGGCCGTTTTTGTCGTCAGCTCCTCAATTGTTCGTGAAATAAATACTTTGGAGGGAAGAATAATTTTGTAGTGTCTCGTGGTAGATCTGTCACTTGAAATTCATTTTGTGACTTGTTTGATCGGATAAACAAGTTTGGAAAGTTAGTCCCAGTGGCCGCTGGCATGAAACGGAGGTGATCTTGCAAATAATCTTTGCTAAAATCTATTATAAGTTGGTCGACCGAAACTTCGGCACGTTGCTCTAATAATGATTCGGAAAATGTTACGTTTAATGGTATCGTTGAGTGCCTTATTAAATGACGAACTGTAACATTCTGCGCAATGGCGCCGTTGCTACTGAAGTATTTGCTAATAACATCCAATCGATTTTTTCTTTTCTTTAACAAACAGATAAAGATGAGATAAAGGAGAAGGGTGAATTGATGGAAATAATGAAGATGGAAATAATTGTTATTAATGATCATTTTTAGGATATTTACTAATTATAGTTTGACTCAGTTTGTCTTATACCATTATTCTCTGATTTATTATAATTTAGTATTCAGTAATTTTTGATGGTATGCTATGAATCTAAAGAGGAAATAATTACGTGAAACTGTTATCTTTTTTAGAACATTTTTCGGTTTTATTTGCACTAACGACGTACACTCAAACATCATTTAAATCGCGATATTTTAACACCATTAACATTAATGTCACACGCGGTACCCGACTAAGTTCTTCATGCCGGAATGATAAAATATTTGTGCTCTATGTTGAGATCAACAAATGACGAGATCGTTTCATTAACTTCTAATTGACAAATTCGAAAGCAAATAGTCCAAGTACTCGCAACATGAATTCGCTCCGCTCGTTATGTAATCTTGCATCGTGACTGTACACGCTGCAAATCGAAAAAATTGAGCACAATATAGCAAATTTCTGATGATCAAGATTCGCAGAATCACATTTATCGTATGCATCCTTGACATATTTTTCTTCGAAAACAATACTAAAGAGACATTTCAATTGAAACCATTAAAACAATTCCTAGAGGAAATTTCATAAATACGTTGCAAATTAATCGTTAGTCGAACAACATTTGTTTTCTAAATTTTTCGTAACATTCGCTTAGAGTTTAAAAAACGATAAATAATCTTCTTTTTTCCATTCCAACGATTCTTAAAAATTAGAACATTTGAACTTGACACTGTTCACACACTAGCACACGCTCTCATACATACGCGTCAATCATGCATCGTCTACAAAATTCAAAACATCAATTCCAATAACCACCAACATTAATATCGGTTAATTTTTAGGTGATTGTTGCTACACCTAATTGCGAATAAATCCACCGTGCCCGTGTAAACACAGTGGTTGGCCACGATTGTACAAACTTGCTAGTAAAAAGTGTTCGTCACTCTTTATTAACGTGTATCTGCTCGTCCACGTGATTGTATTAACGTAACTATTGTTTAATATCAATAAACTCACAACGGCCGTCTATGTTAATTGCTTCGCGCATCAGTGATTAAATTTCTTTAATGTGTTCTTCTCGTTAGCTTTCTCGTTTCCATTCGTGCACGATTTCGTTTGAATTTTGACATATTTTCTTCTTCGCGTTGAAGTTTCGTTCCACATTTTTAAAATTTCTTAATGAGACGACTATTAAAATATACACATAGCTTCTAAAATATATAGTAATTTACAAAACATAGACGTTTGAACATTGCCTTAGAACGGTTGAAATGCACTTAGTATTAATATGATTATAAAATTATAAAAGTAGATACAAAATTGAAAAATTGACTTCGCAACAGATTATCGTGTTTTTGTCATTTATGGAATTTATAATGTTCAAATTTTCGCCAAAAATTCTTTCAACTGTATTTTTTAAAAGTTAACAAAAGTTCCTTATGCTCATTAACATTTTACTCGTCATTATCTCTGAAGAGGTAAGACGAAACCGTTGTACACGTTAGACTGCATAGATAAACGTTAATTTCGTACATTTATTCATCTTATCATCCACGACAGACGGTAAAGCAACTTTCGTCGATATTTAATATTTGCTCCTTCAAATTTCTGTCTTTCACGAATCCATTAATTAGGAACATCAGCGAAAGCGGTGAGGGAAATTATTGCCCGTTATATCGCGAAATTACCACGATAGTAATTCGTACAATTCGTCGAAACGACCAAACGATTCACGTGTCCCAAGTCGACTGATTTCTTACGATATTTCATGGATTTCATCGAGTGTTTTACTATGAAGAGAACTCTCTCAGATATCGTGATCGTTTCTTACCAGTACTTTTTCGCGAAATCTCCGATAGCGAGGGTGATTGCTGAAAAATCCACCGCGAAACTTTCGTCGCGAGATATTACCCGCGAGGTGACGAAGAAAATTATTATTATACAACGAGCTCTTTCGCGCGCGCAAGCTTTTTTCTGTGAGAGTCGATGCCCGTACGAGGATGATCAACTTTCCTTCCCTCGAACTTTCTACGAGAGAACAAGTTTTTCATTGTGGTTGGCGTATAATGTAGATATTCGATCGGGTTTTCTTATTCCAGCGCGACCGCAATGGCTGCAAGAAATCCACGGTTTCCTCGTTAACGCTGCTGTGACTTGTCAGTGAAAGTAGAAAAATATAATTTGAGGATATGTCGACACATTGCAGGTGATATCGAGCATACGGGGACACAATCAGCTTCATCGCCGCTGTTCTTCCTGAATTGAACGCGGATAATCGATCAGGAGTCTCAAAGAACTCGATTCTTTAAAAAATAACGATTGCTTGCGGTTGTTAATGGGTCGATAACAAATTTCATTCAGCGACCTTGTTTTACCAAGTTGCCTCAAAATGATCTCCATCGCGTTAAAAAATTGCAGTGTCGAACAATAAATTACGAGAAGAAAATGATAATAAATTAGGAACGATGAAAAAGGTACGTTGATCGATTAATCGAACTTAGGATGACGAGGTGAGAAGGGGCCTTCGTTGCGCGGTCTCTTTGCAATTCTGAGGAACATCCGGTTTGCGAATCGTTTTCGATTTCCGCCTCAATTGCTTGCACTTTTCTGCGTCTGCTTCCTCCTCGATCTTCTCGAAATTATCCTCTTCTATGCTCTTGTCCGCCATTTCCTTCGATTCGATCTCATCGACGCTGCTCCAACTGTTGTCGCTCTCACTCTGCTGTCCCTCTTTCTTGTTGCCATTTATTTTTTCTTTCTCTTTCTCCCGATAGCCACCGTTTTCCTGCACATATTATTCGTCACAGTTAGGGTTGCCATTTATAAAATCACTAACGTAGGATAAAGACCGTGGAAACTCTGAACTTCTCCGCCTGAAAACCGGACTCTTCTATCTAATTTTTGGATTATGTACAAAATATTAGGTTGTCTGAAAAGTGTCTTTCTTTTACAGACTCGTCTTTTACAACAATGCATCTTTATACAAACATGAAATCTAATCTGTCGAACGTTGTGATCTTTATTTTGATAGAATAAAATGGATCACACCTAATTCGATAAAATAATATAAAACGGGAAATGTTGTGCATCCATTATTTCCTTATAAAAACAAAAGAAACTTTTCGGACGACCTAATATCGTTAGGTACAAGATAAAAACTTCTGTAGATCGTACATTGAAACCTTCTGTTGCGTCTAATGTGAACGTAACACTTGAAAATCACTTCTGGAAAAACAAATACATCGCTATCCAGTATATTAGTATAGGCGCTCTGACGTATGACAGATCACCGCTCATATAACATGATAATATAAATGATCGGAAAAAATCAGGAAATCCCGGCGTACGTCCTCAAACGCCTTAAAAACAAAAACAAATCCAGGAAAACCCTGACGGATGGCAACCCTAGTTGCAGTGAACATGATGTAATCAGCTATTATGGTCTAGAATCGTCTTATGCGAATTGCATTTCCTTATCATGACTTGTCGTTTTCTCAAATTATAGATTAAACGTGTGTAGCACGATCATCTTAACACTTACACTGTACTTATCTGTTAAAAATTACATGCATGACATACTTTGAATTATACACGTGTCTCGATTTAACCTAAGGCAACGAAATATCTCAGAAACTAAGATTTATCGGAAGAAATGCTTTAAACAAAAATTGTAGAGTTTGGAAGGAGACATTTGTTGTCGACCTTATCTTGGGTCAAGGTCGTTTAGCTATATCACGGTCAGCTTAGTTTTTCTCAACGGAAACCCCCATCTTTTATTGTGGATTTCGATCGTACGACAAAAATTAAATACTTCTCGTTCTTATCGATTTTTCGATATGACCTTCTCTTTTCTAGACATTTGATCTGCTGATTAACCTTCGCGCGGCCAATCGTCTAGCGCATAAATACAGCGTCTATTCCGAGTATGCAAAGAAATCGCTATTTATGCAGAAATGTCCACTATAGCATTCACAGTCTGGATTTAACGTGCATGTTTATCTGGATTGATAAATTCTGAGAATTCGATTGAGGTAAGAGGAAAGAATAAACGTAAGTGACATATCGACATTCAGTACGGGAGCACATGAAATGCAGTGAGACAATGCGACTTAATACGACACGCTTGCAGCTCACGTCGAGACTCCATTTCCAAGAATTAGCGGGAATATTCGGAAGCTAAATTCGGCAACAGGTAAAATGGACGAAAGTCGGAACGTAAAGCGGAACTTCTGTATCTCGCTAAAGCGAGACTTTTGTATCTTATCTTCCCGCGCAGACGTACAGACATTGTCCCATCGCTCTGTAGTTGAAACAGGAGAGTAGGAGAAGTGAAAAAACTTTTATCGTCGTTACTTCGAGACAATTATCAACGGATTTGTTTAAAGACTGTATTTGTTCTTCGAGGAATATCGAAATCATACGTTGGCGAAATCAACGAACGAGGTTTGCGTACAAGAACAAGCAGTCAACTACCGGTGATATACCAGCGAGCAAGTTACACTATTGTACTAATTATTATACTCCAAATGATGTAGTAGATGATTGTACTGATTCCCGGCAAATGTCATGGAAATTACCGACATGCTTTTTGTTTTTATATTGAGCAATGTCCTAATCGTCACGTCGACATTCGAATGTTCAGCAAATAATAAATATTGAAAGGAGATCTCGATCGTCCATTACGTCGTCAGAGAAACGGAGAAATGAAATACAAAATCGATGATCGATGAAATACAAAATGATCCTAGAATTTTAACCGTATTAGAAATGGTCCATTTGAATCCACATCGAATGAACCATTCCTAGTGGATCAAAATCCAGGTATCGAATGTGACAACACATTCAATATCATGTTTACCGCGTCAATCTTGTACAGTTGAACGATACAGACTACAGATTAATAATTCGATTTTGTAGATGGGCACTTGATAATTTATAACAGACCAAATTCCTTTGAAATGTCTGTTTCAACGACAAAGCGACCTTTCATAGCAATAGGTATCTCAATTGACAAAATTGTCATTATTAGTTACCTGTACAACCATATTAATCCTGACATGTACTCAATTAACATCGCTGTAGCTTACATGTTTGGGTTGGAATATTGAATGGCCAAGTTATCGAATCGCATTTTTTCGGATGGACTATTAACTGTCCAATTTATTCAGATTTTCTCCGAAACTTTTCACCAGGATATATCTTGACGCTTCCGCAAGATATTTTACAGAGATCATGGTTTTAGCAAGATATTTCGTTAGTGTCTCCATAGGATTAGGATATTCCTTGGTGTGAAATAAGTCCATGAATAAGGACCAGTTTTGTGGCTTCTGAGCTTATCGAATCTTAATCCGCTTAATTTCTACTTATGGATTATGTGAAAAGTGCTATGTAAAAGAATGTCGTGAACATGTAACATACACAGGAACATGTATTTAAATCAATACGAATCTTCTGCATTTTATTAGTCAGTTATCATCACCAGCTACACAGTTTTCTTTGAAACCGTCGCAATAGTATGGTCCAAATTGAAAACAAAAACGTTTTGAATAATTTAAGTTGATCTTCATTTCGAAAATCCCATTTCCATAATCAAATAGCTGAAAAGCAGAAGGCCAAGTTGAAAAATTGATAAGAACAAAAAATGTTTATTTTTGTTCTTCTTTTTATTTTTAGCAATAATCTTAATTTCCAAAATACTTAAAATATTCTCTTCGTCACATTATCTGTTTATCACATCGTTAAACCAACAAAAAGATGTCTACATGAATACAATTCTTAAGGCTGGGAATCGTTTGTATACAGGTCATTGTAACGTATAGAGATTTTTCAAGTTGTACATCGAACACTTACCATCGCGACCTGCTTACTGGGCATCGTGGTGGTGGTTGTGGTAGCTGTAGTGTCCGTCGTATCGCTGCTCTCGCTGTTATTGCTCGGTCTGGCGCCAACCAAAAGTGGTCCTTCCTCTAAATTTTTTCCTCGTACAAATCTTCTCGACGCAGGCCACATGTCCGATGCGCTTTTTACATTGGCCTTGACGAGTTTTTGCGCAACACCCGTCGTCCACACGCTCGTCTCGCTGCTTCCCGTGCTGCTATCGCTTCCGGTGCTGCAATGTCGCCATCTCCGTTCTACGAAACGGGTTCAAAAATCCAGTACCAAATTGTTAAATAATTTATTTTACATGAAAATTAATCCTTTCAAAAATGAATTTTTTAAGTTATGAGAACGATAATTTTTATTCATTAGTAATAACGATACAACGGTTTTGTAAAGGAGACGTACTGTACTCAAATTTCAGACCAGTTTTACAGAAGATAAATATATTTATCGTTTGGTTAATTAATAGCTTATAAAAGTTGGATCAACATGCAGCGTGAAAGGATTATCAAACTTTCTATAGCTGATTTCGTATAACAGTAGTGTTTTTCATATCAAATCCATCAAATCAAGCATTCTTAAAAAATGTAAATAGTTCGCAAAATATTCGAATATTCGTTTGGATGCAATTTTTTACGAAGCCTGAATGAAATAAAAATAATAATTCCAATAAAACAGCAAATAATAGAATAATATATACTATCGCACGGAAGAGCGTTGGCCAGAATAGGTTTCCTCAACAATGGACTTCCTCCATCTTGGCTATCCTCGCTATAAGCTCTCGTTATAAGAATCCTTGGACTTCTTCTTGGTGTTTCATTCATTGCTATGGAACAACCAGCGCTCACATCAACTCCAATAAAATCGCTTCTGTAATGAGGACCCATCAAGCTGGCTGCGCTCGCACTTGACCTAACTAATTTACTGCTTTCACCTGTATGCATAATATAAGTTATAATTATATTTTTTGAAGAGCAAGCAGAGAAGAATTTTATAATCGGAAATCGTAAGCCAAAAATCACATTTAAGTTTGTACTATTAACCTGATTCGGAAGTGGGTACGCGAAGTGTATTGCACGAGGCGGCAGGCTGCAATCTGCTTCGATGAAAGCCGAGATTATTGCTGTCGAAACTGTTTCCAGTTCTGCAGGATCCCAACGCCAGCAAGGCTTCGCTGAGTCTTCGTTGCAACGGCGGGAATGGAAAGAAAGAGCCAGTTCCGCTACCGGACGGTCTTCGTGATCCTGCTACGCTCGGTGTCCTCGCTTGAATCTCCTGAATTAGAATCCATTGTCAGCAGCGATCGTTTCCGAATATTAAATTCGGGGAAAAAGAATTTATGGATGACTTGGATTATTCGTTCGCTAAACAGAAGAGATTGAAAAGAAAAATTGAAAAAAAAGATTGTCTTTTACGCAGTTTATTGGAGTTAAACTGTACTGTAAACTTAATACTGCAGTTAAAACTTCTTATGCTACATTTTTTCATGTTTCAAGATATATTGAAATATATGTAAGATTCTCCGTGTCTTTTATCTTCCAAATTACATGCTGAGTAAATTATGAAAAGTTGAAAATTAATTGCGGGAAACAATTGGAAAATCTTCTTCAATTTGTATGTAATAAATATTCATAGAAATACTTGAGAATCGGTGAAATACAATTTTCCAAAGGTAGCCAGATTGAATAAATCTTCTACTACTGTTACTTTGAATAATTCTCTTATTATTCATTATGAAGGAGAAATTCAGGAAAGGGTTGAATAATTCTAAAAACTTTTTTTACAAAGTGGAATTTCAAACTTATTAATCTATTGTATTAAAAAGATGTGCATTTTTTTATCATAAAATATCATGGAAGAGAAGATTGCAATAGATTCTCTGTAGCAAAGTTATGAAATGAAGTTTTACTGACCTCCAAGGGGATCATATTTGCATAGATTTACTATGATAGAATCTCGAACATTCGTTGATCGACCTTGATCCTTTTGGCCATCATATGTATCGCACGAAATGTTTCTTTAGAAAGAAAAATTCATTGAAAGTGACTTGAACAACGGCACATACATATCTGGCAGCTATGTAATTGAGTCAATAATTATATAGAAAATGTTATTTCTTACACAATTATGTCGAGTAACAGTAGTCTTTAAGCATGTAAATTGCATCTATCGATACATTTTAGAACACGAATTCGTTGTACTTTATAGTATTTCTTTCATTCTACTTTCTTCAAATTTTCTATGGTCAAATATTTTCATGATTCACTATATTTAGGTACATATTAAAAGTTGATAGTTCTAATGTCTCAAATATCTCAAAGTAAATATAAAAGGAAAAAAATATTTATCAAGAAAGACATTTTTTAGAAAAATTCCAAACTAACTGCAAAATTATTTCAAATCGTTGATTATTACTTGTTGAAGTTCCGACTTGGTCGCCTTCTTCCGCCAATAATTCTGCACCGATCGTCTAAGGGTCTGCGATTTCAAGCCGTAGAGAAGGCCGTTGATGGGTGGAGAACAAGCGAGTAGAAGCGAGGCCAACGAAGCAAGTTTGGGATGATCGTAGAAATGCGGCTGATTACCGACGTCGCAAACTTCCCAAAGAATCAGACCGCAGTATGGGAAATAAAGCAAATATAGAGAACCAACCAGTTGCATTACCTAGAAATTTAATATAGCATCGTCGCTATACTCTGTATGAAATAATTTAAATTACAATTTAATTGCGTGTCGTTGAACGAATGGGACATTAGCAAATGAAAGGAACTCGTTAAATAGAATTATGTTATTAGTTCGTGATATTGATCGTCAAAGAGTTATTATGGAGGAAAATCAACGCGAGCACAACAGATCGTCCAGAATGTTTGTCGGTGTTATATCGGACAGACAAATTGCGTCATTAAAAGATACGCGGCAGATAATTGAACGTAAAACTGAACTAAACACACACGAATTGCCTGGAGGCGATTGTATTGTTCGGTAGAAATTCAATTTCTAGCGGGATTTTGATTTACGTCTTTCTACAAAGCTTTTGATTTAAAGTCTACCGGATAATCGATTAGAAATGATTAAAATTTCGATTCAATTTTCTGTCAATGAATTTTCCTTTGAACAAAGCTTAATCGACAAAAATCAATTAGAGATTCGTGGAATTGAATATTATACGTGGATATTAATTAGTTTGAAATATTTAGACGAAATACATAATGCTTATTGTTCCTTGTATTATGTAATGTTTAATAGCGTTTACATTACGTCAATAAAATCCCTACGAAATCGTTTACATTGAATAAATGCATCAGTATTTGGTCGATCAAATATTTATGCTACTATAAAATTTAACGTTTAAAGATTGAAACGGTTGCAATGTTATGAAGCACAAACACAAAGAAAGAATTTTAAAATTCTAAAATTATATTTTTATTTCAGTCTATAGTTAAATATGTATGTACATTTCTTAAGTATGTATATTTCTGCATATTATGTGTATACTATACATTTTTACGCTTCTAAATTTCGCATAAAATGCAGTCTTCCAGCAAAAAAAAAATCTGTAATATCTTAAAATCAATGCAAATTTTAAAAGATTCGATAAATCTTAGAAATTTGTGAAACGGCGCAGAACGGAGCACCGATTCTAAAAAAAAACTTATCAGAATTATACAAATTTTTACGAACTCTAAAGATAGCAGGAACCACAAAAGCCATCGAAAATTCTTGATGTAATCTTCAATCTGAAGCTGAACTAGTTAAAAAATTGGATCCAATACTATATATATGTCTTTAATCACCGACGGATTAAATGCCAAATATTAACTGTAAAAGCAACACATGTATCAAATTCAAAGACCTTTCCTCAAAGAGATTTCCTCAAACACACCGTACGTGTCTCCACGAAATTACTGAGATCGTTTCCTTGCTCGAACACGGTTTGCCGTTTGAAATTGTCCACATGACATCATATTATGTCTATCCCGCTGACATCACGCGATGCGAAAATTATGCAGTGCAAACAGAAATTACGCTGATCTCTGGATGTACAAACCGTTTTGGCCGCGCTATGAAAGCGAGGTGGGCTGACGACCGAAGGTGCCGTGACAGTTGGTACGAAAAACGGATTTCGCTGGTGGGTGATGGTCGCTTGGGCGCTCAGGGTAACTTCGTAAATTGCGCTAGCGATTCGATGCCGGTGATAACGCGCTATGCCAAGCACACGCAAATTGCAGATGGTGACGAGGATGGCGGGCAGCGCCAGCCCCAGAATCGCGTAAACAGCCCCGTAAAGCGCCGCCGCTAAACCCCACGAATCGTTGCTAAAATCTGGCGCGCAGCAGCCCAATCCTGGACTGTATCTGTGGTAACAATCAGCAGGTTGTGACCTTTAATTTTTTGTCATCCGTCTGTTTCGTTGTTCTCCTTGTTTTGGAGGGCCGTTTAAATTTGGGTATTTAGGATAGGGTAGTGATAATAGGAATAAAAAACGTCTCGTATAACTTATTTAAGCCATATGAAGATCGCGGGAGAAAAACAAGATAATTACAGGTTTGTTCCAAATAGCGGTTTTTTCGTGTTCAATTTCTTACCGCGTTATTTGAGGTATTGAAATATTATTAATACTATTAAACTAGGAAGAAAGAAATTATTTCATGCGACAAAAATTTAAAGAATATGGAATCTGTTCTAACTTTCCAGTCGTATTACGTGCATTATGTTCCGATTATTCGACGGTGAAACTATTTTTCTTTTTGCAGGATCTTGAGCAATTTTAAAATGAATCTAATTAATCCTAACCTTGACACAGTAACGAGCGCAAATAACGCGGATGAAATATTGCTTCGAATAAAGAAATCGAAACTCTATTAGGACTGCATTGAACATTCATCACGCAAAGACTGGCTGGAAAAAAACTATCTCCAATTTCTTAATGCTGCTAACAAAATTTAGCATCCTTTACGTAAGAAAGAAATGAACGAAGACCCATATAGTTACAAAAGATACATTTAAAATCGAATAAATTGAACAAATCGAACATCGGTGCTCTCTTGTACGGTGATTTATCAACTAATAATATTAATGAACTGACAAGTTACAAGATATAGGCTTTCTATAAATTTACAATGTTAAGATAAATATCGTAATCTATTGATTTTGTAAAGCTTACATACAGTGACTACAACAAGTACTAGCTTGCACACTTTACTTTTAAATGAAGCTTTTTTTTGGTCAAATTTTATACTTCATTTTCATTGTATCAAATTTTTATCGCCATGTGAAGGTACTACGAAATGGTATGAAATTTAATATATTCGGATCTAATTAATTAGTATGTAAATATTATAATAAACACACTGGTGTATCCATACCATTTTTAACCACTGTATAGAACTTTCTCTGTTTTATTATGCGATCTCCGTAATTTATCGGCACAGATAACTTGTAACTTGTAATTAGTATATTAATTTCATTAATAACATTAGTTGAATCGTGTAAGAGATTTCGACCAGTTGTCAAACAACAAACGAACCTGTAAGGCGGTACCAGACCCCAGAAGGGCAGCACGCATAAGAACAGAGCCCCTGTCCAAGATGCAGCTAGCCCAACCGCAACGCGTCGTGGTGACACTAATGCGGCGTAATGTAGCGGTGCAGCGATCGCGTAATATCTGCACAAAGAATCCCCGCCATTATGGTGTTCAATCTTTACAACTGTGACTATCAAACTCCGGAAAGGAAATTCCTCAACGACGTTCGAAATCGAATCTTTTTATGGCCCTGTCTCCCATTCCAGACAATCGTTCTTAAATGATCATCCTGGAATCGTTGGAATGTAACGTGCATGAGTGAATAATGAAAAAGTAGGTGGCTGAGTCGAGATCGGAGAGGAAAGGTCACGCCACTGTCGAAAAGGAATGCGACAGTTTAAATTCGTATGGGCCATGAATAAAATATCGAACGCGTTCGATCCGGCTAGCCACGATATTTTCAAGTGGAAGAACTACGCGTGTCTCCTTGTATTTTTATCCTTAACCTTTCGCCATTCCGAATTGTTTCTCTTGCCTCCCGAACGTGACAAATATTTGTATGTGAACACGTGACTTCAGATCATGTGCAATTCCTTCCTCTTCTAAATTATATTAAATTGATTAAGAATGTTGTTATAATTACACTAATGGTTAAAAGTGTCCGGATATTTGCTTGTTTTATCCGATTGATTATTATATTTGAAGCAAAGTAATAAAATCGTAAAAGTTATGATTTGCATCTCGTCAATTCGGACATATTAGTTGCTGAACTATTGGAAAGGCGAGAGTGATTTGTTTTTTATACTGAGGGCACGCTATACATAGAGTATCACAAAGGAAATTAAAATGTGTCGAATGTTCATGATAAATTCTTCCATTATTTATAACTGTGTATCGAATCCTGTAACCACCATATTAAATCTATTCATGAAATGTTCCTCGCGTAATTTAAGAACACCATCTCTTATATCCTCGACATTTTTATTACATACTAACAACTGTGCTGACGCTGATAGCAGGAGTAAAATGGCACGATAAAACGTCCCGTACCATGTTCATTATCGATGAACGAGACGCGACGAGATATTATGACATTTACACGTTCCTACGATATGTAATTTGAAGGAGCATCGGTCCTTCTCTCCCTCTGGAATCGTAGATATGAACAGCAATGACGGGACTGTATGCCGAAGGGTTTCTGATTGAATCGAAGATCTGGTGTTGGTTGATGGCCAAAGAGATATCGGGGCTGAATGCTGGGTGGCTCTATTGACATCTTACGTTGAAAAGCTTGGCAGCTTTGTGCTACGTAAGGCTCGTTGAACGTCACCGTGGCACCGAATCGAACTCGATTTTTTTCCAAGGGATTTCCAATTCGATGGCCTCCCCGCTTTATGGATGAAGATACACAGATGCTTTTCGAATGCTGATTGATGCAATGCAACGAATTGATTTATTAAATATGTGTATTTGTTGAATATTGTATCCGTTAAGTAACACTTAATTATGGCAATGCGTCAGAATATATTCTCTACATTATCGTGATATAATTTATTGGACATTTGAATTTGTAATCTTTGTTCGCTTATTGTAGACATTTTAATTTTATCATTATTGTTCCCTAACACGATTAAATGAAATTAAAATTTGGCACAAATGACCAAACTGGACAAATGAAAGATAATATTTTTCCACAATATGGGATCGAACAATATGATTTTCGTACTTTGAAGTGCTATAAATATAGAACAGCTTTTGAAACTTTATCGAAAATGTTTGTGTGAAATTCCTACTACATATAAACCGGATATGAGTAAGAGTATCAGAAATTCACCAAAAAATTCGACGATAAAAGAATTCGATTTCGAATACGAGTTTAATAAAGATAGAACATTTTGAAAGGGAAAAAAGAGTATGTAAAAGGCTTACCTGTCACAGTTCAATCCAGTGACAGTCCAAAGGGCGACTGGATGTAAAAGAGTCAAAAGAAAACCGTGTAAAACACACCAGGTGCCGGCGATTGGCCAGGAACCAGTAGTAAAGATCAGTAATATCAGGCACACAGCCGCCTCCACTGCACCCAAGTGTATCAGCAACAAAGTATTGGCGGTTTGTTGCTGCTGCGTCTGCGGACATCGGTTAACTTGTTAAATAAACTTTCCTATGGCGATCAAAAGTTCCTGTACACCGTGCAATCTTAATTTCCAGCTGGGATCTTGTAATTTAAACTTCTCGCTGTTTGCACGCGATCCCTCTGCCTCGTTCTTAAACGTTACTTCTCGTCGACTTCTTTACACCCTACTGTACAAAACAACTACGAATGGATAAAAGATAAATTTACACATCGTTGGTTTTATTTTGGTATTCGTGTATTAAACAATCTATCAGCTATTAAACTTTCTTAATTGAATTAGAAAATATTAATCGTAAAAGTCGAACATAAAAGTTAGTCAAGAGAGTGTTATCGATATATAGAAGTGCCTGTAAACATTATTTTATCTTATTTTTAGCATATAAAACATAAAATATAGAATAGAGAATACATAATATTGAAAAAGAGAAAATCATATCAAATATATTAGAATATTTAATATAGGAAGAATTTTCCAGAATATAGAATGCAGAAAGAATGTTCGAATGTGTCGAAAATCCAATACTCTTTTACATTGATATTTCTACGTCAAACATCAGTGCAACTATAATTTCATAAGCAACGAACTTTTATCTAATCCCTTTATTAAACTCGTAGTCGATCGAAGATATACTTTCCAATAGCAAAGGTATTTTATTTGCCATATACCGGACGTATTTGCGGGAAACAATATAGCAAGTCTGACAAGGAGCCTCACAAAGCAAAGGAGCGTATTTTATGCGACCTAGTTCGCTGGCTGCCATTCGACGTGTCCACCTTCGATATTATATCGAAAAGCATGCGATCTTTTCTAACCACTGCGCAACTTTGTGTTGTTTAAACTGCCATGGTCAGCCAGTGGCACCCACTGAAATGGATCGCGTAAAAGCACAAGGCTATTTCCAGCGTGGCCACTTTCCTTCCGCGGGTTTCATTCCTTCGTTGAGAAATATGTCATACTTGCGAAAGGAGTGGCTCTCTTTTTCTACCCAAAAGGAAACTGCTTTAAAAGACGGGATTAGCCACCATCTTGCGTAGCTCGGAACTCGCGCAAGATTTCTCTGTCGAAACCTCTCAACTCCGTATTAATTTCTACAATGTGCGAAAGGAATTTTATAATGTAAAAAAAGATCTTAGAAAAATCTGCAAGGACATGAAGCCTACAACCGTTTTATATCCTTTCATAATTTTGAAATAATAAGTTTTACTACACGATGACAATATTCGCTGGTCGAGATCAGGATTTTAAACTAATTTTCTTCCGTAATTTTGTATCAAACGATTGCTACTTGACGTTTTACATATTTTTTAGTGATACAAATTAAAACAGATCACACAAAATTAAATCATATCTCTTGGACAAATATAAGTTATGTGTGAATGTATCCTAAATTGCAACAAATTTTCTGATGTTAGATCATACTTTAATACTAATGGTTCTTTTATAAAGGGTAACTTGACAAATTTTAATCAGACACCCGTGATTACTGCTCCGTAATAAATCTTTAATTATTACTAGATTTAAGGATTCTTGATTACTAGAATGACGAAAAGTTTACCGAAACAAGTAGCAGATTCCGCAATATCTTGGCTCTTTGGCAAAATTAATTAAACGCTTATTCGCACGAACGTTTGCCAGGGGTCTATAACAATAGTGACTCCTAACTGGATCAAGATGCATTCAAACATAGTAGATAGCGCGCAATCAGTTTAACAACTCAACATGTATTCCCAACCGATACCCATAATTGCTTCGATTCTATTCGGAAGTGGCCAATTCATTAAGGATTCAGACACTTTTCTAATTCAATCAGAAATTCATCGACTCTTTACCTAAACATGATTCCAACGTTTATTAAGGCTGAAAGCTAATGACTTTTCATCGATTTATCGTCCAGCTTTTCATACGCTATCAAACTTCATTGTATGTCTCCTGTCGCCGATAACACGGGCATCGAAGAAGACTGATAGCCTGAATAATTCCTGCAGTGTCAGTGATCTATTGTCTGCAAACAACCACCCTTTCACCCGTTAAGAATATTCCCAGTTGGAAATACTATACAAATTTAAATCCTTCGATCCAACGTAGCTAATTTAATTATTCTCCTATGTTTCTCCAACAATTTTTGTTATACACGAATAAATTAACAGCATAAAATACAATTTTGCTAATATCTACACGAATTTTCTCTTTCTCGGAAAGTCGAGTTTGAAAAGCCTATAAATAATAATTCACAATAGATTTCAATAGATTTCGGTAATTAATTTAAAGATCGTTTATCATTTGAACCAAGGAAATATTGTTTATCTAGTCAATTTTTTTCTTCAAATTAAAATTTACAGTTGACATAATACATCGAACCAATTAATAATAATAAAAATATAATCTCTCGATACACGCTGTCAATCACGTATCGACGAATTATCTATCAGTCAGAACAACTATTTACCTGTTTGCCCAGTCCAAGAACCACGAGTAGCACAAAACCATTGAGAATAAGACCCAGAGCAGAAACGAAGACGAGAGGCACGCCGAAGGCCCAAGGGACCATTCCTCTTTCAACGCGTGATTTATTCGTCCTCGAAGATGGTTAGCTCCGAGAAGTGGAAGCGGATCTCGGCGATCGTTGTTAATCAGGTGTCGAACCTTTGTTTAACGATCCACGGCATCATGATGGTGGATGCATCTCAAACATCTGCAACAGCCACATATAGATCAATTCATCGAAATAACCGAATTAAAGCGCGTTAATTTCATATGGCTGCCACTCGAACCGGTTTCGAACATGAACAATAACGATTTAGTTATCGTAAATGGCTATTGTTATATCTGTACAGGATGGTAATTTTAGTGGGAAAGTCGAAACCGAATCGCGTATGATATTACCGAACTACGTGCGCAAATGCGCATCAAATTTTTGAAACTAATTTCGAGGCTAATGGTAATTATTCGATGCTTTGCTTGATGTTGAAATTGCGATTCCGTTTTGCTCGTATTGTTTCTGCAGGATACAGGAGCAACATGTGCTTACGCTATCATCAATCAACGATGTTTGCGCGTATGAAACGATATTGGATATGCTGGTCTTCTTCGATTGAGAATCTTTATAAACGATTCTTAAAATCGTATTAATTTCAAATATAAAGTACGGTAGAAGCTCGATTATACCAGAATACCGATTGACAAAACGACCGATCATCGGCGCATTGTTTAATAGAAAATTTAGGGATTGTACCTTGTAAAAATGATTACTAAACAAGAATAGGAATTATTACATTCTTATTCGTAAGTTTCCGCTTCTGTTTAATATTTATAAAACATCCAAGATAAATGATCTTCTCTCATATAAAAATAAAATGATTCGATTACATCTGAACAATGCGTATCATGATTTGCGCGGATAATCAACGTTCTACTGTATTATGACATCTGAAAAGAATTTCATACAGAAGTCAAAACGTGTTTTACAACTGTTATCACGTTCTTACCACGACGTCGTATCGATTCATAAACTAGGTATCGGTTTGGTCAAGGTCGTTACATCAGGACACGAAAGGTCATCGGTTGTGTGGTAAGGTTCTCGATTCACCGCCAAATATGTCAATTAGCGATGCTCGTTACCACGGAGATATATTGAATAATACATCAGTTGTTGTAGAAACGAATATAGTAACGATTCACTTCCGATTAACATGGAATATTGCATTTTAATCCGGATCGTTACGTTCGAACAGTATAATGAAATAGGATACGGAACGTCGTGTACCACTTGGAATTCTCGATAAAAACTTAATCGCATATCGAGTTGTGATATCAAGTTTGGGAAATACGAATTAAAGTTTAAATAGAAAAATATAGAAAAAGATCACGAAATTTCTATGAATTCGTTGGTTGCAAACCCCTGGAAGTTCAGGTTCGAGGAAAGGAGCAGGTACTTCTTGTACTTTGACTGCTTTCCCTCTTCTCAGAAATCGTTCATCTTATAAATACAGTTCAAAAATTCAATTCAATTCAGAATATTCTATGTTTGCTCTTAAAATTTACTTCCAACTCTAAATTGGAAAATCCAAATTTACATTAAAAAGTTCAAATTGTGATTTAAATAAAAAAATTCTAGTTCTAATTCGTAGGCATTAGTTCGCGTAATCACGTCGTATTAACCGTATATACATAGAGATTGTCGCATCACGTGTACAATATTTGTGAATCTTTGATAACGCTTCAATTTTAAATCGTCGTGAAGTATCATCGTTAGCGTTTCAAACTAATGGAATTAGAAATAGAGCCGCTAATAACGGTTTGTCAAAGCGTAGGACTAACAAGTTTTAAGGTTGTCAAGACAGGGATGGGGAGCACGTGAATAACATAGTACAAACACGCTCGATCTACGGTATGATAAGCGCTACTAGTGAAAATTACAACTGATGGCTCAAGGTAATGCAAATGCCGGCTAATCCGCTAATGTCTCCTCGCTGAACGAAGCGAGTAAGACACGTTCGCGATAAATCCTGTCAATTGAAAACATTATTACGTACACATCTCGTGTCGGCATTCGTTCAAACAGTTTTTGTTCAAACTTTCGGTTACGAAACAAATATATCTAGCATTATATTTTAAATAATACAGTTTAAATCTATTCGGCTAATTTTATATTTTGAAAAGAGATTTTATAGAAAAACTTGCGAACGTAAATAAACGTAATTGTGTAATTACAGAATAATCGTAGGATCTCATGTCGAACGACGTTCTGCAATTGTTAAAATTTCTATAGAAAATAAAAATCTAAAATAAAAATCTGTTTACTTAAACAGAAACATTTTTTATTATAAGTTGGCGTTAAATAATCGGTTCATATTAATCCAAATTTTTGCACATTGGATCGCATTGGTCCAAATCGAACCATGAGATTACAAAAGTGCAAACGAAACCATGCATCACTAAATAAGATACGAAATATAAAATAAACGTACAAATCTGAAAAAAAATACTTACGAGTATAAATGTGTATGGTTTCTGGAAAGCTTGATACAGAATCAGATTTTATAGAAGACAGTCAATCACGTAGGACGATTGTTTGACAGACTGTGAGTGAGACATGCGTGATATAGGGAGGCGAATGAAGAACAACGAGTCGGAACGAGAACAGATTTCATTGAATTATATATATAATGATGCGTTCCCCTTGTGAATATTGTTTTCCAGATCACGAGCAGCTAGTCGACAGTATAATTTGGTTATACCACCATTCAAGCAGTTCCATTATCGACCATTAGCCGGTTTCAACCTTTATACCGAGACAACTCACGGTACTGTCTACTTCAATCGTTTAGTTCCTTGTTTCAGCAGTCTCGATATTTAATGTACTATACTCGCGCAGAAAGTGGATAAACATGTTCAGTCGTCTACGTGCATGTAAAGAATCGTGTGTTGTGAGTCGTTATTATTAACGTTCAAAAGTTTCTTAATTAATGAGAAAACCAGCGAAAATACGGTAAAAATTCGTGTAAAATTAAATTACCATTGGAATTTTTTATTTGAAGCTTACGATATTTATCGATAATGGAACCTTATGCATTTTACAAATTATGCAAATTTACTTAAATCTTCTATTGAAGATATACAAGATTTATCGATACTCAGGCATTATATATTGGGTTGCCCGGAAAGTTTGTCCCGACTTTTAAGGAATTTTTAAGGACACGAAAGATTATATTGGAAAGTTCTTCATCAGAAGCCTGAGAGGTTCTGGAAGGATGGAATATTTAAGTTGCGTGAAAGATCGAGAAAGGTTGTGGGACAAAATGGCACCTATATTATTCAATAAACTTCTCAACGTGAGAACTGATTGTAATTTTAATAAATAAATAAAAAAAAACAATATTATTCAATAAATGTATATCGAATCGAAATGTAAATCGGAACGAATTTTGCGGGCGATCCAATATCTTGGGAACTTGCATAGTGGTAAATATGGAAATTTACGCGAACTGTTAATTTCTAAAAATCGAAATTTTCGGAATTGAAAATCCTGTAGACCATTCGTGATAAGAATCGATCAATTAAATAAATGAAGTGAGTTAATGTAAATTAATTACGTTGAAAGAATCCGTGATAACGATTTCATTTAACGATTGAGCTTATAATTAGATGGTAGGGTTTGAATGTTTTATAGAAACATAAAGTACTTATTAAATTTGTCTCTCGCTAATGTTCCCGTCTCGCCATCGTGTTAGCAATTATTTACTCTACTTTCAGCTATTTCGATTCTTATACCATAAAATATTACTTCATTTTTACGGAATTCTGTCCGACTGTTTGCTTAAATAAAATAACGCGCACCAATATGGGTCACTTTTAAAAGAAGCAATAAAATTATGAGTCTCGAAGAGATCAATTTGTCAAAGATAAACGGAATCTTAAACGCCGGATTTACGAGAAAATCCGCGAAAAGCTGTGAAGTCACGCGACATTAATCGCCTTTCGTTTTCGTATTCAACATTTTCCTCGCAAAGTAACGCCGTTCCTTTCGTGGAATTGGAAAATCGAGATTTTCATACGAACGAGCGAACAGTGAAAAGAGGCGCGCCTGAAAAAGACTTCTCTTCCATTTTTCAATACTCGTCCACCGCTTTGACTTTCTTTCAGCAGCAATCGTAGGAATTTCTTATTTTTTCTTTTCATTAAAAATACATAAAGTAAAAAAAAAAACTGCATGCGTTTAAAATAATCGTCAAAAAAATTTTACGTAGCATGAAATTTTTTAGATTCCAGCGTTAGGTTAATATTAAACGTTTTTTTACGATTCTCTATTAAGAATCTGCTTCAAGCTAGTTTTTTAATAAAATAGGATAGAACGATAAAATTCACACTTTCGCGAAATTACACAGATGCGTTCGCATCGAAGATTTTCTTGGTCGATGTGAATTAAAGGAATTCGATTTCCATAAAATTGACTGTGTTAATAAGATGTATACGCAAAGTGCTCGAAGCAGAAACGAATGATGCGTTCGCCTCGTTTTGCGATTCTATTGACGAAAGCTCGTTAATGCTTCTCGCACAGTATAAATATCTTGCTGTGCTTTCAGTCAGAGAATGAGAAAACAGAGATTTAAACGCAGCGAACGTTTCCATTTTAATGGACCATCTATAATATTGTAATGCACGAAGTTCTTAGCAATCTGAAGCTAATTTTTCCCGTTGGAAGTTGATTTATCTTAAAAATATGAAAATATAAAGAAGTCGTTTGTTTCATAACGTCTGGAGTAACAATCGCTGTTACATATTTCTATATCCTTATCCTTTAATGCTGTTTATTCGATATATTAATGTTACTGATGAATAATTTATTAGATAATACAGGCGTCCTTTGGTTCACAAAAAGGATTAAGAATCCATGAATTAGAGAAATTCATACCAAAGTAATAAATATCGTTACTTTTGCAAAATTTAATTCCATTATTTAATTCATTTACTTCGTATTTTGAAGATACCTAAATTGTTAGAGAAAAGTTAATGTCTTCTGTTAACATTCTAGTGATAGTACTAGTTACAAAAAAAATGCACAACAAATATCCAGAAAAATTTTATGTCATTCTTAAATGTCTAGATTTAAACATTAGATTCAACTAGAATCAAACATACGATAAACACTTATTATTCAAGTTATACTACCACGTCAGAATAATTTACTTATAA